TCAGGTTCGGTCCCCGACTCCGAGACCTTTGAAGTCTCCTTCCTACAGCCCCTCTCCCTCCCCGCATGTCTCGTCTCTTACTTGTGGTCTGTCCTGTCTCGAGTCTTCTCACCACCTTCTGCCTTGTGATCCTTGTATAAACTTAGAGCAGAATATATCACTCCCATCGTTAAAATGGTAAATGCCCCACCCCCCTTTATCCTTTCAAGTCCAAACTCACCAATGAACCTTTCCTATCTATCCAGTCACTTCCTTATCCTCCTACGTCACAGCCAGAGAGATTCTTCCTCCAGTTGCATATCTCAGATTGTTCTGTGTCTTTGCTTTCTCACCATCATAGTCCAAGCCACCATCATTTCTCACCCACACTATTGCAGTGCTCTCAAAGCTGTTCTCCCTGCTTTCACCATTGCCCCCATCCAATCCATTATAGGCACAGTTGAATTATCTTTTTAAATGTAAGTCTGATGACATTCTGTTTAAAACCTTCAGTAGCTTCCCAATACTGTTATGACTAAATTATTAATTCTCAAATGGTTTAAAAATCTGCCTACCTCCCTAAACTCATTAGCAGCATTGTCTCCTCACATATTCTAAACTCTAGGCTGTCTAAATACTTTCCCTTATCTAGAAAACTGTTCCCTTTGGTCGAGGCCTTTACTCATGTTGTTCTCTTTTTTTTAAAGTATATTTTTATTGATTTCAGAGAGGAAGGGAGAGGGAGAGAGAGATAGAAACATCATTGATAAGAGAATCATTGGCTGCCTCCTGCATGCCCCATACCTGGGACCAACCCTGCAACCCAGGCATGTGCCCTGACTGGGAATCAAACGGTAGCCTCCTGGTTCATAGGTCGACACTCAACCACTGAGCCATGCTGGCCCAGGCTACTCATGTTGTTCTTTAACAGAAACTCACTCCAGACCTTCTACCTCTTTCAGGCTAATCATTATCCCCACTGAGCCTTCTTGGACCCAACTGCAATTCTCCCAGGAAACCTCTCCTGGCTCTCCAGTCTGGGTTAGTCTCCTCAGTGGCTTTTCTCTGTCACAGTCTGATCAAGCTGCATTATCTGTCCCTCCTCTGTGCAAGGCGTGGCACATTGCCTAAGGTACAGTAGGCTCTTTCTTGGTTGAATGAACAGAACTCAAAAAGGAATGAATGTATGCAAAAGAAGGCAGCAAGAAAGATGAGAGTTCTCCTAATATTCACTCAACAAGGACACAGAGAGGCGGGTTTTCACTCCCTTTCTTTTATGCACCATTTCCTGATTTCATTTATTTCCTTATTTAAATTTATTTATGTATTTATTTATTCTCCAGAACCTATGCTAAGCACTAGGAAAACTTATTTACCAGACCTGGCTTGTTGCTAATGGAGCTCAGAGTTCCCCTGGGAAGACAAACAGATGAGCCCTCTGCCTCACCCACCCAGGAGTTGTAGAGGGCCTAGAGGAGAGTGATTAGACCAGGGGTGGGCAAACTTTTTGACTTGAGGGCCACAATGGGTTCTTAAACTGGACCGGGAGGGCTGGAACAAAAGCATGGATGGAGTGTTTGTGTGAACTAATATAAATTCAAAGTAAACATCATTACATAAAAGGGTACGGTCTTTTTTTTTTTTTTTTTAGTTTTATTCATTTCAAATGGGCCGGATCCGGCCCGTGGGCCGTAGTTTGCCGACGGCTGGATTAGACCATTTGGGTGAGGACCTGAAAGGATTCTTGGAATCCCTATTCTACAAAATCACTATCTGACTTAAATGCACTCATATCCCACGTTAAATATAACCCTTTTGCTGTGTTGGGGTCCAGCCCCAGCAGGTCCAGGGGTTCCCAAAGGTGTGGTCGGAGTCTTTGAAGAAGGAATGACACGGAGACAGCGTTCAGATGATCAGCATAGCCAGGTTCTCCCTTTATTGTCCTGTTACCTCTGTTTTTATACCATTTGATCCTAAAAGCATGCCTCTATACATCATGGTATGTTTTGGGTAACTTTCTACAGTTCCTGTTTCATTTCCATAGTTTCTTATCTGACCTTTGCCAAAAATCCCATCTCCGTCTAGTTCTGTTGATTTTAATCCTATCCATTCTATTCCAAAGGTGTTATCTCCATTCCAAGGTCACTACTCTACTGTTCTGTTAAGCTACAAGGAAGTAACTGAAGGAGATTATCCTAAGTAAAGATTATGTATGTTAAGCGTGATTGTTCCTAGTAAACGTGATTAACTACCTGCCTGGCACTTAGTTAAGGGGTTTTACTGATTTATTCTCTTCCTTAGTCCTGTTAATCCCTAACTCCAGGGGAAAATCCCCACCCGGGGAAACAACCTTCTGGTGGAGGTGGTCCTGGTTAAAACACATAGTGTTAAGAGGGGTAGCAAACATATGCCATATACACCAGGTCCCTTGAAACATATGCTGTGCAGATGTTTCTTTCCTTCAGCGACTATGTCAAGCAGCAAGGGTGGACCAGCTTCCAGCATTGCTGTATGCCCTCCTCTCCAAGACTTGCCTTCTTTCCCATTAATACCTCCCACCTAAATAGGTGTATAACTTAGGCCATGTTTGCATCAGCATCTTTCACACATCCCCCCCAATGATTGCTTAATTCTCTCTAGCTTGAAAAAATGAAATCATTGGATCCTTTGGGCAGAAAATTTCAGGCACAGGCCTCTTTCCCCCATTGCCATTTTCCTTGTATCCTCTGAAATATTGCAACAGCTTCTTAAGAATGCCCCTGCTTCTGAATCATTAATCTATTTTCCACACTACTGCCATGAGAAATGTGATCAGAGAGCGTTCATAGACTTGTGGTTCAGAAATTTTGCATGGCCTTGAGGCTTTGCACCATTTAGTTCCATCCTTATTTCCAGCTCCAATGAGGCATCCTTACACCCCAGCCACATCATACTACTTGCCATGCCCTGTTTTTTTTGTTTGTTTTTTTGTTTTTGTTTTTTGCCATGCCCTGTTTTCACTATGCTTTTCCACCTCTGACTTTTGACATGCTATCCCTTCTGTTGAAATTCAGCCATCTTTTAAGACCACTTTTTAAAATTATTTTTTAATTGATTGATTTGTTTGAGAGGGGTGGGAGAGGGAGAGAGAGAGAATGGGAGATCAAATTATTGTTCCACTTATTTATGCATTCATTGGTTGATTCTTGAATGTGCCATGACTGGGAATCAAACCCACAACCCTGGCACAGTGGGACTACACTCCAACCGAGCCACCCAGCCAGGGCTAAGACCACTTTCTTTACCCAGCTGTCCTTGATTTCACTTAACTGGAATATATGTAACAATATAAAATAAGTGGGATCTGTTATATTGTGTATATCTACATATCATAAATGAATTTCAATGTAATTTTTAATAAATATAATCATAGCTGCCATTTATTAGCTTAAGCCAGACACATTAAAGCCCTGAATGGTACATATTGATATTCTTGTTTTGTAGGAACAGAAACATGGCTTCACATTGAGGCAGGTCAGTAAGCCAGGATAAGTGGAATAGGGAAACAGACAGATAGTTAAATGGCCAAGCAGTTTAGAGCCATTTAGTAAATCGCAAAATCCTGTTTTCCCTAGCAATGAGCAGTAGCAGTTCATATCTGAACCTGTCTCCAAGGCCACCTCTTCTCTGACTGTTCAGTAAGCCAACAGCAACCCCACCTTGGCTCACTTTTTTTCCTATCATGTCTCTAGAGAGCCAAAGCAGCCCCACCAAGGCTCTCTCCTGTTGGTTGTTGGCTGCTA